GCCCCCCCCCTCCCCCTGTCCCCGCCGCCGGCAGCCTCCCCGCGCCGCCTCCCCCGGCCGTTCTCGGACTTCTGGAAGGCTTCAAGCATCAGGGACAGGGTGGGGGGGATCGGGAAGGCTTGAAGCCTACCCGCGCCGCTTACCCAGGCCGTTTTCGGACTTCTGGAAGTCCGAGAACGGCCTGGGTAAGCGGCGCGGGTAGGCTTCAAGCCTTCCCGATCCCCCCCGTCCCCGCCGCTTAAAGCCTCCTTGCGCTGCCTATCCCGGCCTTTCAGGCATCCCGGGCTTGGATCCCACCAACTGCCGGTTACCCTTTAAGCGGCGGAGACAGGCTGGGGGGTGGATCGGGAAGCTTGAAGCCTCTCCGCGCCGCCTACCCCGGCCATTCTCAGACTTCCAGAAGTCCGAGAACGGCCTGGGTAAGCAGCGCGGGGAGGCTTCAAGCTTCCCGATCCACCCCCCAGCCTGTCCCCACCGCTTAAAGCCTCCTTGCGCTGCCTAGCCCGGCTGTGCAAAGCGATTTCCCCCCATAGGCAAGATCGTTGTGTGATCGCAAAAGCGATGGCAAAAAAGCCATCACTGTGCGATTTTTTCGTTAAACGGGGCACCACTGTACTTGACTTTACTTTCTACTTAATCTTTTGTTTCATATTTTCCATCTTGATTAATACTAATATTGTCAACGTAAATCATTGTTTTAATTGTTTTTATGAATAATTTTATCGTGAGCCGCCCTGTCTTGAAGGGCAGGATAAAAATCAAATAAATAAATAAATGGGGACGACAGAGGACAAGATGGTTGGACAATGTCATCGAAACTACCAACATGAATTTGACCAAACTCCGGGAGGCAGTGGAAGACGGGGGGGCTGGTGTGCTCTGGTCCATGGCATCACGAAGAGTGAGACATGACTTAACGATTAAACAACAACAACAGCTTAATTTGAGAAGGTCCATTTTGAAATGTACATACCGTATCTTCTCAAGAAATAAATGAATGTCGTATAGTGTATGACATTTTTTTTCTGTTTATTCGTATTAAACCCCTTCTGGTTGCTGGTCAGTTGGATTTCTATAAGAATTATTTTGAAGCTTATTCCAGACATGATTTTGTTATTGTTTTGTATGAGTCTTCTTGCATTTTTATTCTGTCAGAAAATCTGAAATTTCTGCTATGCAGAAGGATTTTTTTTTTCACAGTACCAAAAAAGTGTCTTTCCTGAGATTGCATTCAGGCTCATGAAAAAAAAATCATTTTAAAGTAAGCAACTATTTTCCTGGGAGAGTGAAAGCTTTGATGGAGGAGAATATTGAGAGTAAATGTTTATTTTTCTGTCTGTATTTGTCGTAAATAGACAACTGATTGTCTCTCCTTGTCACCACAGTGCATCTGTTTTATATAGAATTTCCTCTTTGCCCATGTGTTTAGGGTGCTTTATAATGGGATTGTTAGAATTCTCAAACATTTATGGTTGAGTCAGTGCTTCTGTTTGTAGGCCTATATCTTTAATAATTTACAGTTTGTGGTCATCACACCCCTGAAGCCTATTGTTACTGCTTTCTTGGGAAAAACATTTTACAAGTATCTGAAGATTGATACTTTGTTCATCAGGCCTACCATGAAATTAATCCCATTAGACATTCAGACTCACTGTGGCCTGAATAAATGTACTTTTTCTACTGTACTATTCTCATTTGTTCATTAGCATTTCTGAGTCCTTTTGGGAAATGAGATATAAATTATCACCAATGGCAGGCTCTGTATTTCCTTCTTGTTGCTTTCTGTTCCTTTGATAATGTTTTTAAAAAGTTGATATGTTTTTTGTTTTGAATTAACTGGTGATTGATGCTGCTGTTTGTATATTCAGTTGTTCATTGTGTATACTTTACTGTGCAGTTTTAGACCATAGGGAGGGGAACAGTCATCCCTTACCATACTCCTCCTGTCGTCCCTTCCAGAATACCTGAGTCATGGAGAAATCTTTTTAAAAGTTTGTAAACCACCTTGAGTGCTATCTTATATGGAATGGCAGGGTATAAATGTATTAATCAGTTTGCATCCCAGTTCCCCTCACACCAGGATTGTCCTAAAAGGCATCATGGTGTCTGCAGCTGGTGCAGAGGCAAAAATACAGGATGGTGTTCCTGTAGTGTTGCTTGCTTCTGGTACCTTGCTGAGTAGAGGATTCTCTGCCCCAAACATACCGTATTTGCCGGCGCACAAGGCGACTTGCCGTATAAGACGACCCCCCCAACAGGAGGAGGAGGAAGAGGGGAAACGGGGGGGTGACGGCGGGCGAGCGAGCACCCGGGGAGGAGGGCGAGGAAGAGGCTTGGGGGGGTGGCGGCAGGAAGAGGAGGAGGAGGAAGAGGGGAAGCAAGGGGGGTGGCAGCCAAGCACGTGCACCACTGGCTCAGCAGCGCGGCGGGCAGCCCGGCGGCAGGCTCTGGCTGCTCAGGCATGGCAGGCTGTGCTTCCCTCCCTCCATACAGACTGACTGACTGCCTGCCCGCCTGCCTTCCTCCCTGGCCAGCACAGCCCCGCGTCATTCAGTGCACCCGGCGTACAAGACGACCCCCCCCACTTGGAGGCATGTTTTTTGGGCCCAAAAAGTCGTCTTATAGGCTGGCAAAAACGGTATATTGCGGTCATGTGCTGCCTCTATTTTGCAAGGCTTCATCAGGGATGAGACCTATAAATTGTGTTTCTTGACTGAATTTAAATTGGCTTGCCAGTTTAATAAGGTGACCAAGAGAACTGTCTTGGCAACATCTGCAAATGGCCATAAATAACTTGGATGCAGTTTTGTTATATTTCTGAAATTCTTCTGTGAATAGCTGATTTCTCTCTCTCTCTCTCTCTCCACCTCCCCCACAGAGTTCCATTATACCTGGTCCGCCTTTCCTGTTTGGAGCATGTGCAGTCCTTCTAGCTTTTCTGGTTGCCTTATTCATTCCTGAGCATAGTAAAGCCAGCAGTACCAGGAAGCACAGCAACAGCATCAGCAGTATCCAGAGCAACAACCCAGACCGAGGCAGCGATGAGGACATTGAGCCACTGCTGCAAGATAGCAGCGTATGAAAACTGGATTTTTCCTAATGGCAATGTTGACTGCAAGCAAACAGAATCCATGCACTGAGCTCTGTATTCAGAGCAGGACTTTATCGGAGTGAGCTTTTGATCTATCAAAAGCTTTGCACATTTCACCCACCTAAGGTATATTATGTAGTAGGTGGCCACTGATGGGGGCAGATTTCCACCACTTACTGTGTATTTTGTATAACAGTCTGAAGTTGTTATTTTTATGTATCTGTGCAACTGCTATGAAGCCCAATACTGAACTTAGAATATGGAATAGAGTGTCTTGAAAAATACATTATACTGCAGTTGAACACTGGGCATCCAAAGTCATTGTGAGCAGACCACGTTTAGTACCGAAGTGGCAAGAGCTCAGATTTATTCCTTTTCATTGGGTACCTACTCCCTTATTAGACCTCATGAGTTTGAGAAGATATTTTATATGAATACATATTACTGATGAATAGAGATCATTATGAAATCTCTCAGTCAGAAACCTATATTTTCTCTTCATCATGTGTTGTCTGGTAGATTGGATATTGCAAAACTACTTAGATGAAGTGTTACCAGAGAAATTCAAGCATTGTAATGGAGCCTGTTTGCCAGTCCTCCTCTTCCTCCCTCATTCCCAAAGACTTTAAACTTAGATGTATATAAAAAGGGCTCCAGTTGGAACCAAGAGGAGGAAAAATAATTCCCTGCTGATAGAAGGCATTAGCGATGCTCGCTGAACAGGCTAGCAACCCCAATCTGGCCAGTTCTAGCACAGAAACTAATTAACTGGAAGCTGAGGCAATTTACATTGACTTGTGTGTATTTATTGCATCGTCTGTCACTTTTTAATCTGCCATATGAAGCGCTTCCATCCCTGTTAATTTCACTCCTGCCTTAAGTGCTAGTACACATCTGTTATCACCTATATTTTCAACTGTATTTAGCCCTCATATCAAACTCTGAAGAATCTCATGGAAGTATAATTAAGTAATAATTTTTCCAAAAGAAGCATTAAGGATGGTTTAGTTTCTACAGAGCATCATACTATAATTTGTAGAGTCATTTTTATGAAATTGCACAGATTTCTATGTATTTTGCAGCAGTGGAAATGGACCATTACACAAAAATCTAATGAAATACTCTTATGAATGTTTTATATGTATTGAAATATATGTAGATATTTGTAAGAAGTTTTACTTTTTTCCAGATGAGGTACTGTGTAAATCTTGTATTTATAAATGTAATGAGGGTGTTGACAGATATACAGCTTTTATAAAGGATTGTGTAATGACTGAACAAAATTGAAATATATATATTTTGAAACTTGTTCCGCCTTAAGCAAAGATATCAAACCTTTTGTACTATGCAGTTTGGTTTTTAAGTTAATAAGCTTCCTAATGCATAATAAAATTGCAACCTATATTATACATGCTCTAGTTCTCATTTTACTATACTGTATACTGTGTATTTTGTTCTCCCCAGTATCAAAGGTGTGTTTGAATAATTGGGCAGAGCATATATTGTTAGGAAGTTGATTATTATATACTGAATTTTGTTTCCTTGTTGCAACCCTTCAATAAATTTAACGTAAAGAGCATTTAGTAATTATAGGATTGATATGTAAAGATGAGCCAGTCATAAATTCTCGGTCATCTTTATATAGCAATTGTTTATTCATCAAGGGAATGTTTTCTTACTTTATAGCTAGCATTAAGTAAACTTGGAGGACCTCCAAGGTGTCAGTGAGCTTTCCCAGGAAAAAAAACCAGACCTTTTGAGATGAAGAGCCTGTATTTCTTAGAGCATAATTATCAGGACACACCCTGCCCCTAGTATTTAGAATGCCGTAGTGTTATTCTGGCTCTCAGTCTGAACAGCACTTCCTCTAAGATGTAAAGGAAGTGTTAACCAGGTCTGGATCTTTCTTACTTATCTCATATTTTTATCCCACCTTTCTTCTTACAAGGACCCAAGGCAGCTTACATTATGAGGGAATGAGGTGCATAATGAAAAGTAAAAAATGTGTGAATGAAATATGTTTTAATGCACACTTTTTCCTGAAGGAGTTTCACAGAATCATACAGTGGTGCCTCGCTTGACGAGGATAATCCGTTCCAGCAAAATCACTGTAGAACGAAATCGTTGTCAAGCGAAAGTAAAAATCCCATTGAAATGCATTGAAAACCAGTTCAATGTGTTCCAATGGGCGAAATACCTCAGCGTCCAGCAAAGATCCTCCATAGGGCGGCTGTTTTCCGGTGCCTGTAATGCAAGGAATCAGTCCTAAAACATAGTGGGGAGCTATTTTGCACAGTGGGCGGCCATTTTGAAGACCCGACGATCAGCTGTAAAGATCATCGTTAAGCGAAAAATCAGTTCCCAAAGCAGGGAATCATCGTAAAGCAGTTTTCCCTATTAAAACATTGTTTTGGGATCGCAAAAGCGATAGCAAAAACTTCATCGTAAAGCGATTTCCTCATCTAACGAGGTAATCGTCAAGCAGGGCACTACTGTAGTTGGTAGGGATATCTAATCTAAGCCCTTCCAGTTCAGGAAACCCACAGCTGTGTGTGACAGATGGCTATGGAACATAGATTTAAATGTAGTTGGTAGGGATATCTAATCTAAGCCAGTTCAGGAAACCCACAGCTGTGTGTGTCAGATGGCTATAGAACATAGATTTAACATTTTCAATGAAAGAGAGAGCCTGTCACCTTCCGAAGGAGGTGCCAGTAAGTTCTTCCTATTCTTTTTAAAAAAATCTCTTTTTTCCTAATTTGAAGCTGTTGGTGGCGGGTGTGTCCTCTAGGGAAGCAGAAAACAAGTTTGCTCTACCATGCATGTGTCAAATGTCAATATTTCAGGATAGCTATCCTATTGTCTTAAATGTTTTGTTCCTTACCTAAGCATGCTCAGCTCCCTCAACGATTCTTCACAGGGCTTGGTATCCATACCCATTAAATATCTGTCACTCTCTGGCAATCTTCCACCTCTCTCTGATAGAGGAAGGAAAAGGCCACTTAGGTTGTGGGTTGTTCCCATTTCTTTGATGGCAGGAGGAAGAGCCATCCCCTCAGTATGTCCAATTTCAGTTTTCTGCTTTGAAGATGAAGGGAGCTCTCAAGGTCCCAGGAGCTCAGAACTTTTTCCTATTTATTAAACTTGTCACATAGCCACTGCCATTTTCAGACGCCTCAGTGCCTGAGGCAGTATTTTCAGCCTCATCACCAGTGAGAGGAATGCATGGCTCCCAAGATGATAGCATTGCTTGAGCAATGTGACACATAGAGGCAGAGCAGAGAGTGCAGAACTCATCCCTTAAGAGCGCTGGTATGGATATAAGCACGACACATAGCAGTGACAGTCACCTTCTGTTTCTCCTCTCAGTAGATAAACAGTCATGCATTTTCTGCAAGGCCAAGATGGATTTCAGGCCTTTTTCATGAAGGTGAAGACCCCATTTTCAAGAATTATAAGAGCTGATCTTCTCCATCAGTCCCTAGCTCATGATCCTATGGGAGAAGGAGTGGCGCTACCTTGATGTCCCTAGTTATATTAGATTATGGGCAAAAGCTATAAACAGCACTGCTACTTGGTCATGTCATAAAACCCTTCAACCCTAAGCAAGAAAGCTTTCAAGCCCTCCTTAGTCTGATGGCTCAAGGAATGCCTTCCTAGCTAGATGTCTTTGTTAGTCACGAAGCAGCCTACCAGTCCTCAATGGAATCTTAGCTTCCTTTGTTAAATGCATGGCTGCCTTGGGCACTTTCTGAGACAGGACTTCCTGGAGACTTGCTACTCAGGCACCTCATCATTGGTGCACACCTTCACCACAGGCATAGCAAAACAGATACCTTCTCAATGGAAGGTGCCTTTGACTGGCGTCTTCTGTGGCAAAATGAAGTGTGGGAACAGCAGATCTGTCCTGCAGAAGAATGAAGGAAGGGAGGACATTGGGCATATGGAAGCCATTTTGATAGCCACTCCCTCAGATACTAATGGTTCCTGCAGATGCATCACATTTGTATATCCCAATGCTACCTGGCGTCCTTCCACTGTTACTGAATTTTCAGTCTTTCTGATATTGTGGAGACCCTCTATAGTGAGTTAAAATTCTATCTGTTCAGACTATTGATTTCCATGAGGTGAGAGCAAGAGAAAGGCACAAGGAGGAGGAGTGGTGAGGCCGGTGTTTTCTCCTCCTATTTTATGTTTCATCTACTAGGCTTTAATAACATCTGAAGAGCTGAAGCCATGGAAGCTGCCAAAATCAGTTCTGAGCTTAGTTAGAACTTTGTTGAAAGCTTTAGAGATTAAAATACAAGAAAATCCAGACTTCTCCATTTTCTATGTTAAAATGTTCCCAGTAAAATCTCAGGAGTACATTAGGTTGTCAGCATATCTGTAAAGGGTTGTTAACATTTCTATTATTACAAAGAAATGGTCATGGGAGAAAATCCTTGCTGAACTAGTGCATCTGTCTATACTCCTTAACACGTTGTTAAGTCTGACTTTGCCTCAGGCAATGACCTTCAAGTATTGTTAAAACATGAATCTTGAGCATTAACATCTGAGAAGAATGCTCTCATTTCTTTGAAGAAAGAACACATGCATACAGCAAGCCTTTTTGTCTGCATAATAATGCCTTGTGTTTCAATATTGCATGCTGGTCTCCAAAGATTGCTTTTTTTTGGGGGGGGGAAGAGGCCTCACATGAAGAAAGGAAAGAAAAAACGGCAAGTAAAATCTTTATAATGGAAAAAAAAATCAAGCCTTGGTAGCAAATCTTGCTGAAATTAAAATGTGTTGAAGCAATAAAGTGCCAGAGATACAGATTGCATTCCATTCAGTGTTGACAGTCTGGCCTATGTTTTTGAATTCTTATTTTTCCAATTCTGTTCTTTCTCTGTAGTTTCACATGTCCTGTTTGCTTTTCATAAAGATTAATTTTATATTACTGTATACTGTAATACAGTATTACTGTATACATATTGGCTGCAATATGTTTTCTCAAATCATGACCAATGGGTAGCTATCCTGTGTTCTAAATTCTAATACAGTTGCCTATCCACTGCTGTTTGCGTAGCAAAAGCAGTAAAACACATGTTCAAGAAGACAAGAGTTTTGACATATCTCTAATATTTGCAGAAATATGAAATGCTTACAGCAAAATTTCCCTCAGGAGGGTGGAGTAACATCCCCCCCCCAGCTCAGTAACACTCAGTCATGCTCAGGTTGTTGGTGGTAAAGGCCTGAACACTGGCTCCAGGGAGGAATGGAAAGGAGTGGATGGAAAATTTATTCTTTATCAGATTTTTATCAATCTTCCAACAAGCTCAAGCTGATGAACATGTGTAAGATTTTTCCTTTAGCCTACTGTTTTATGAGCAGACAGACGGTCATACTTTCAGTTATTCCCTTGGTATTAGAAAGCTGCTACCAATCCTTTGTCTTCCTTCTCCTGCAACAGACCAGAAGGGAGCTGCTATTGTAGAAAATATATTCACCTTCTTACAAATGAGAAGCTCAATAACAGGACCACAAGTCTGAAGCTTGGCCCCATTTCTCATACATGCACAGAGCAGATGGGACGACAGGCAGAGTGGATTTTATCTAAGAAAGCATGTTTTATTGCCCATTAAGAAAGTGAGTACACGATATTGAAGAAGCAAAAAGATAAACTACAGATGGAATCTCCTTAAAGGGCCCCATCTATGGGCAGAACTTAATTAAAGAATCCCCTTGTGGTCAAAGGGAAGGGCTGCTGCCTAAACGGTAGAGTTTTCACCTTCCTGCTTGCACCACAAGCCTACTATGCTTAATCATAGGAGCCAGATGTGTATGCTGGAACAAATGATGTGTTCTACCATATACATATTGTGTATGAGCTCATGGGACAAATGTTGCTATTGAGCAAAGAGATGTTGATCTTGCTGTCCCCATACAGTCACGCAAGAGAGCAGAATGGGAGTAAAATACAATTTTTTAAAATCCTGTTTTGAATATTTAAAGGAGAATGATCAGCCACTAGCTAGCAGTAAACTAGTTTTTCCGACCACTTTCTTGCAAAGAAAGAAATTTTGGGTTGGAAAAGTGGGGGACGTCTTATACATGGGGGCGTCTTATACAGGAAAAAATATGATTTTTAACAAATCGGCTATTTTAGTCGAAAAAGCCGATCCATTTTTATATTTGTCCCCATCTCTAATTATGACTGCTAAATATGAGAAGAGTGAGTATGCACTTGCCACACATTCCTACTATTTTTAGTTGTAGGTCTGTGAACAATCATAGATATCTAAATTTGTCTGCTCTGGCAATAGTTGTCCTGGATTTCAGCTGCTGTGCTCTCAATGCCAGGGACTGAATATGAGACTCTTTGAAGGCTCCATTGCTGGGACAAGGCCCCGCCTTAGTGCTGTATTTG